AAAAAAGAAAGAACCAAGAACATGTACGTTAACCGAAAATAATCGTCCAGTATACGAGTTTAAGGCCCAAAGAAAAGAAACCCGATGCGAGTATCCAAAATAACTAAATAAAGTGGTCAATACAATGAGTAGAGCAGACCTAGTTAAACTAACTCTATATAAAACTAACTATATATATATATATATATGTATGTGTGTGTGTGTGTGTGTGTGTGTGTGTGTGTGTGTGTGTGTGTGTGTGTGTGTATAGGGTGTATCCAAAATGCTTTTACAAACTTTGGAGGAGAGTTCCTCAGAGCAAGGCGAATACAAATGTTCATATAAACATATCTCCGCAAACCAAAAATAATTTTACAAAATTTGGTGTTATAAAAACCTCAGAGAATTCCAGCAAGATATCTTTTAATCATTTCTAAGACACAACGGTCCAAAGCTTAATTTAGTAATTGGACTATACTTATGGGATAATGTGGTCAGGCCTGACGATTACGTCTATCATGAAACTGTCTGTCGGATTTGAGTGTTGACTTCAATGTTCACTTTTTATTATATTTATATATATATATATATATATATATATATATATATATATATATATATATATATAAAAGTGAACATAGAAGTCGTGGCCTGACGATTGTATATAACATGAAATAGACTGTCGCCTTTAAGTGTTGACTTTATGTTCACTTTTTATATTTACACACGCTCTATCTCTGATATTGAGCACTTTATCTCATAAATATAGCACACCTTATGACTATATTTATATATATATATATATATATATATATATATATATAGGGTGTATCAAAAATACCTTTACAAATTGGGGGTGGGTTCCTCACACCAAAACAAGGACAAAAGTCCACATAAACAAATGTCCACAAATTCATCCTTTTTGAGTTATTAAGTTTAAATTAAGTTTACGGTAGATGCTGTTAAATGAACAATCCAAGATACGATCCAAAAATACTTTTGCAAACATTGGGGGGGGGGTTCTTGATTCTATCGTAAACTTTCTTTAGACTAAATAACTTTGGTGTGAGGAAACCACCCATAAAACCACCCACAAATTCTGTAATAGTATTTTTGATACGTCGTGTATATTGTATGTTTTTTTTATTTTTTTTTATTTTTTGCGACTCTAGATATTAACAGAAAACTGACGAAAAGAAATAAATATATTGTTTAATAAATCGACTCAAATATGAGTATCCACTAAAAATAACATTTAGCGTCCTGGGTATGACGATAAACTGCATCCGTGTCCTGGGTATGACGATAAACTACATCCGCGTCCTGGGTATGACGATAAACTGCATCCGCGTCCTCTGGTATGACGATAAACTGCATCCGCATCCTCTGGTATGAAGATAAACTGCATCCGCGCCCTGGGTAAGACGATAAACTACGTCCAAGAGCAAGGCCTCTGATCAGGAGTTTATGAGGAGCGTGGAACCACCTCTCAATTGATGGTGTTCCCAGGTCCACCCTGACTCGGGGTGGTAGCACCTGTTAGGGTCCCAGCTATGAGTAAATAGTTGACCCCACAACCTGACTCAAACACTGTGAAAGTGTAAAAATAGATTTAATACCAGAAATACTTTTTAAAAAAATTAGTATCAGCAATAAATATTTGAAAAAAGAAAATATTACCAGATATAGAAATCTTGTCAGTATAAAATAACCCATTGAGATGTTGATATGCCACAAAACAAAGCGAACCAAAACAAAAAAATAACATTTAAGTGATTAAATCTATCGGATTTAAAAATAAAAAAAATATCTATTATTATTTACACGATTTATATTTGGACTAATGTCCTCGTCTTTGTTGTTTTTATCACAACGCTTCGTAGGTTGAGTCATCTCTCAAGTGTGTATCGATCAGAGTAACCTACAGGTAATTCTGAACTGGGTCCTTTATTTAATCTGCAGGGCTAAACTATTCTTGTTCCATTGACCATCTCTAGGGATATCTTGTCTAGTTCTTGTTTTTTTTACTACTGCTCAGTTATTGTTCGCTCTGTTTCCACTGAGCCCAAGTACACACTGCTCGGCCCAGGAATTGAACTCACAATTACTATGTCAATAAATTTACAAACCAACCCTTTTACACGGAGGACAATGTGCTGGGGGGGACTTAGAGCTTTAAACCTAGCCATGCTGCTGATTATGGTGTAAATCATGATAACGCCTCATCCCAGGAATTCAGACAAAAAATCCATTATTTCTTTAGAAATATATATATATTTATATATAAGGGTTATGAATTTTTTGGAACTGTCATAAATTGATGGATTTTTTTTAAAAAAATAATGAAAAATACATTAATTTGTTTAAATTCTTGAAAAAGGTCACAGCCAAACTGAAAATTTGATTTTGCCATACGCAAAAAGGGTAAAAAATCAAAATATTTCAGAAGCTTTATTTTTCAATTTTCTAATGACGTAATTGGAGAGTAATTATATATTTTTAACACACTTAACAATTTATAGCAATAGCATAAAATACAAACTTACAAATAAACAAAAGAAAGTTCTAGAAGGTAACATAAATTTCTAGAAGGTTCCAGAAAGTTCTAGAAGGATCCAGAACGTCATAGAAGGATCCAGAACATCGTGGAAGGTTCCAGAACGTCATAGTACTACTATACTTATATATGATTTTGAAAATATCATGTTGAGTGTGAGTTATAACCGTTTGCAAAATAATTAATATCCTTTATCATAATTCAATGGACATTTGTTCAAAAATAATGAAAGAAAGTTTAATTCAGTTTAAACTGAATTAAACTTTCTTTCATTGAATTATGTTAAAGGAAATTAATTATTTTGCAAAAGGTCATAACCCTAAGATATATATATATATATATATATATATATATATATATATATATAGTGAACAATAAAAAATATTAAAAAATTAAAATCTTCAGACACACTGGGTTGTATATCAATATTCTTTCGTTTTTATTATTATTTCATTTAGAATCCTCGATTAGCTTCGGCCAACATGGCCATCATCAGGAGAAAAAATTCCTGCTTGCTGGTAGCAGTGAACTACAGAAATGAATATCTTGATGGAGAAAATGGACTTTCCTTATGTAGTTTTCATTTGTTTTTTATTTTTAACATGAATTTTGGACAGTCCTTGTGTTGGTCAAACAGTCTCCTTTCAGCTGTTATTTAAGATAAGAGCTGGATGGATTCATGCTGCTCTGAATTCCCTTGACCATTTTGACAGTTTTATTGGTTCCTAGAAAGGGGATGTGTCTCTGTTAAGTGTGTGTATTCTTTGGCTCTTAGGGAGTGAGTGAGTATGATGTGTGTAAGCGTGTATATTACTATGGGTGTGTGTTATCATTTGGCTCCTTAGGAAGTGAGTGAGTATGATGTGTGTAAGTGTGTATATTCGTGTGGGTGTGTGTATAAGTGAGGCCTCAACACATCCGTAAGCATGTCTGTCTTGTGTGGGTGAGAAATGTGGGTAGGTCATATATATATATATATATATATATATATATATATACAGGAAAAATCCATAAGTTATTAATCCAAGTGAATCCTAATAATATAAAATATTAAAACTGATCCACAAAGAGAGCTCAATATATTTATTATAACAGAGCATATATAAATAAATAAATTACATATAAGAGAAATTCAAAAATACCCCGATATGTATAGCTATTTCACTCCACAAGAATTACCTTTCAGGATTTGTCAACATAAATTGGGCCATACCGGACAAATTTAGAGGAATCCCCAAGAATTGTCATCATCTTGTTAACATAATCATGATAGTCAAGGATGACGACGCCAGAACCTTTGTCGGGTTTCGTAATTACCAAAGCTTTATTATTACGAAGTGTTTTAATTACCCTAAATTGCCCCTCGTTTCACTTCAATTCATTATGTGAAACAGGAGTACTTGCGTAACAATGTGCTATATTATTCAACTTTGCCTTGAGGTCGCTGACTTTGCTCCTTAAAAATTCAGGTTGGAGTTTAGCTAGCTGCTGCGCAAACTCGGAATAAACCTCAAACTGAGAGGGAATACAAACGTTCTCTCGTATTAATACGTCAAAGACTGGGAAGACATTGATATATAAAAATCCAGTATATATATATATATATATATATTGATATATATATATAATATATATAACAACTGGTATATATGAAGACATTATATATATATATATATATATATATATATTTTAGGAATATATTTTTATATATATATATAGATATAGACTAATGGAACATCCGGTGAGACATCGGTGTGTGTGTGTGTGTGTGTGTGTGTGTGTGTGTGTGTGTGTGTGTGTGTGTGTGTGTGAATAAAAGAAAGAACAGTAAGATATATAATCTGGTGTTCTCATAGATATTTTTATTTTTACAAAATAGTGCTCAATGTAAATTTACAGAGCATTAATATTATAAATTAATTGATTTAAAATATTTTGTAATTAAATTAAAGACATTCGCTTGAGGATGAAACTAATGTCTTTAATTTAATTACAAAATTAAATTCGAAACTTTTAGCTTCCATTTTTGAAACATGGTGTAGCGAAAAAAACATATTTTAAATCAATTAATTTATAATATATATATATATATATATATATATATTATACTAATAGTAAACCTCGGTTGGTAAAAATCTTGATAGCACAAGTATATCGAAACAAACTGGTACGCGAGGAAATATATATATATATATATATATATATATATATATATATATATATATATATATATATATATATATATAGAGAGAGAGAGAGAGAGAGAGAGAGATAGATAGATAGATAGATAGATAGATAGATAGATAGATGGATAGATAGATAGATAGATAGCTTTATTTATACTCAGAAAAATATTTGTATATGACTGCAAAGAGCTTTTCCCATAAACCTTTTCCCTTTTCGACATAATAAATTTAATTAAGAATGTTAATAAGAGAGAAGCTTTTAATTATTGTGATTTTGAATGACTTTTCACGTGGTCGGAGAAGCTAACATTGTTGTCGTGTTGAAACTGGTCACGTGACCAGTACATACCTTGAGACTGACAGCGGTAACAATTTCTTTTCCTGGTATGGCTGTAAATGATATGGGTCTTGAGATGAACCTTCAAAGCCGGTGTTTGTGAAGATGACATAGAATAATACTTGGAATTGCAGAGAGAAAAATATGCCTATGCTGTCGACCTCATTACCCGCGGCGACACGTTGAAATGGCTGTCTGAATCGCGTATATTACCGACCCTTATATGATAATGGCCGTCTGAGAGTTTCCGTGACTAGCTAATTCCTGTTGTAGTCATTTTAACACCAACCGAGTCAATCTGTAATCACCAGAGAGCAAAAACAGGCGATCCCATTTTGAATAAGTAGATCGCGTGATGGTAAAGGAAATGTATATATGGGAATTGAGAGTTCAATCCCTGGGCCGGGCAATGTTTACTTGGATCCTAGAAACTGGACGAGCAATAACTGAGCTGTACTATAGAATATATATTTTTATGCTAATATTCCCCTCAAAAAGGCCCAAGACCCACTCAAGGTAGAGGATTACCGTGTTCATTAAGCGTAATAAAAGGCAAGATGTGAAGTGGGAAAGATAACGGTTAACCCTAGACTTAAATATGGCATAACAAAAAAAAATTTATGCGGATAAGATTCGTAGATTTTAGCAACTTAAGCACCTTTTCATTTAAAGAAAGCACCTCACATTTCATCTTTGACGTATTCGAATTGCCAGCATCCATACACTTAGGAACTTTTTTTATATATATAAATGTTCATTCAGTAAAACCCCAAGAGCCGATCAAGTTAGAGGATTATTGTGAGGTGTCGTATGAGGGCAAGAAAGAGCGAGAAGTGGAGTCCATAGGTTTATACAAGAAAGATAAGGTTTTCCCTTAGACTTGAAGAGGTTGAGATTGTAGTGATTGGGAAAACATCTGCCATGAGTCTGTTCCACAAAGCAGCAGTTCTTGGGAAGAAGATGTCCGAAAGAAACTTACTTCTTACTATAGAAGTACGAAGGGAATGGGGATGATTCATGCTTGTGTACGTGACATGGTGAGTCCCAGTTGTAAAGGTCAGGGTGGTAGGACCAAGGAATATAGCTCGTCAGAACACATGTCATGGAAGTAGATATAGAGCAGCGAGAGGCTCGCAAAATTTCGTCTGCGGAAAGGGGTTGTAGGGTTGAAAATAATTAATCACCCACAAGACGCTTTTGAACTCTATCAAGACATTCAAGAGAGGACTAGACAGCTCCTGCCCATGTATGGCAGCAATATTTCACTTTTGGTCTCATCTAACTCTTGTAAAAGATAAAATACAGCAGGAAGAGTGATACAATGAACCGACCATTTACTAGAGTGATACAATGAACCAAAAATTTTTAAGCACCTTTAACAATAAATCAGATAAGTTACAGCTTGAGGTTTGTGGAGAAAGAGAGAGAGAGAGAGAGAGGGAGAGCGAGAGAGAGCTTCATGTCTCTCATTTCTCGTCCGTGGAACTCCCATCCTCTTACTTGCTTCCCTGATAGCTATAATCTCCAACTATTCAAATGCAATATCAATCGACATCTCCATATGCCTTGATCTATTCCACGTCCTCCTCTTCATCCTTTCCTCTATCCCGTCTCTTTACTCTTGCTCCAACTCTCTGTAACCCATTGCGTGCTAGTGGCACTCCCGCCTTGCTTGGGGTGAAATGCTTATATATATGAGCACGAAGTTATATATATCCTCTTTCTATATTTTAAGCAATTTACGTCATCATAAGCTATTTTTTCTTTTTTTTACAAAGAAAAAATAACTTATGATGACGTAAATGTGATCTGTAAATAAACTCAGAAAAAATCGTGTTCAGGTGTATATAATATAAGGAAACTATTTTGATTTATTACTAATAATTACAAACACACACACACACACCCATAAGCGCGTGCACACACACACACACACACACACACACACACACACACACACACATATATATATATATATATATATATATATATATATATATATATATATATACTGTTGCGTGTCATGACAATAAGGAAGTAATTCGGTGGGAACGCTCCTACTTTAGATAAAATGAAATTAAATCGATAAATTACTTCAAATTCTTCTCTTTTTCTCCCTATCTTAGCCCATTTCTCTCTCTTTCTCTCAATTTCTCTCTCTCACTATTCTATTTTATCCGTTTTCTCTTTTCCCTTTCTTGTTCCTTGTCCTTCCATTTTTTTACTGCTTTCCACTCCTCATTCTTATCACTCCACAAGTTTCTCTCACTTTCTCTCTCTCTCTCTCTCTCTCTCTCTCTCTTTCTCTATCTCTCTCTCTTTTGCTTCTTTCGGGTTTCTCACTCAACTTATTCTTTTTTTTTCTCTTTCTTCCCACTCTCCTTCCTTATCCCTCAGCCTCTAATTTCTTTTTTCTCTCTTGCTTAGTTCAGTTTTCTCTCTCTTCTCTTCTCTTTCTTCGTCCTTCTCACTATCACACCTTATCCTCACTCTCTCTCTATGTCTTCTTCCGGTTTTTTCTCTCTACTCTTGTTTGTCCCTTTTCTTTCCCCTCTCTCTTTATTATTCTACCTTCCGACTTCTGTTTTCTTTCTTCTCTTGGTAATCTCTTTTTTCTTTCTTCCACTTTCTCTCTCTCTCTCTCTCACACACACACACACACACACACACACACACACACACACACACACACACACTGTCTTTTTACGATTTCTGTCTCTTCTTCCTTTATTCTTTTTTGTTCTTCTTTCTTCCTGTTCTTCCTCCTTTGCCACCCTCTCTCTCTCTCTCTCACTTCATTGTTTTCTCTGCTTTTCCTTCTTTCCCCTTCCTTCTAACTTTCCCTTCCTATCCCTCCTCATATTCTCTGCCTTTCATTTTATCTCTCCTGCTTCTTGTCTCTTTTTCCTTTCTTTTTTCCTTCTATACCCTCTCTCTCTCTCTCTCTCTCTCTCTCTCTCTCTCTCTCTCTCTCTCTGTGTCCTTTCTATTTCTTTATATTACTTCCATCGGTTTCTCTTTCTTTCATTCTTTTTTCTTTTTCTTTCTTTCTTTATCTTTTCTCTTCTTTCACGATGTACTTCCGCCCACATCACTTTCTTCCTCTCATCTAAAATACCGCCTGGTTTTCTGTTCCGTATTTATTAATACCGTGCGAAATCGGGCTAAACTTGCAAATAAATAAATAATACAAAAGATAAAACAAAATATAAACGAATTGCCTTCAAAACAAATGTACAGCGTGAAAAATTATGATAATATTGATAGCTTCCTCTCGGCGGACGGAATTGTTGGCTGATAAAAAGAAGACGAGGGAAAATAATTAGCAAAATCCTGACTTAAAATTGAAAGGGAGCTGAGAAGTTAGGCGGAAATTAAACCAGAATATTATCGCCATAAATATTTTTAGAATTATTTATAGATCAACAAATGCTCACAATTTCCTCCGCTGATTAAGAAGTCTTTTGAAGTTTGAGAATTTTAAACGTGGAATATAAAACTTCATTTTTCGAAAGGAAAAACTGACCTGAAATATTTAACTACTAAACGCTGTAATTATTCTTGTATACTAGGCACTTTCCCTTTGACCCTCTACCTTTCAATATGTTTTGTTAGTGTTACAAACCTATATTGGAAGATTGTGCGATCCAATTAAAACATACTGGCAGATTGGTTAATGTAAGACATTAGTATGTTTTCTGTGTCAAAGTGACGTCTGCAATCACAGGATATCATTGAGATAAGACACATCTGCAGGATGTTACAGATATCGTTGTGACAATTATCTTCATAGGAAAGAAGGTAAGCTGTGTGGAATGGACTAAGAACCATATCAACAGATCCTGGTTTCTTGATGAATGACAAGGCGTAATCTCTGAGACTGTGGTCCCCAGCAGCCTAAACGAGGGAACCGCTCGCCTGCCACGCGAAAGGAAGGTACACGCCGGTTAGACCGTTCGCCCCTTCACCTCGCTTCACATTTCCTCGCTAGCCTACAATTGACCCTTACGAGAAGGTTAGAAACTAAATAAAATCGTCTCATAGTCTGGGGGTGGGCATTAACGATCTGGCCAAAGAATTATTTTCTTTGTATTAAGCCACAAGCGTTTAACTGAAAAAATAAAAGCTGCAACCTGCGAACGAACCTGGCGTCTGCTCGGATATAATCTCTCCCCACTACTTCCCATAATCTATTTCCATGTTTTGACGACCTACATCTATTAGCTTCAGCTCCAGATACCCTTGTTTGTGCAGATTGCAGCTCTGCTTGGAAGAGCTGTATAAATTTCTCTAAGCTGCAGAGATCATCTATATTATAAAATGTAAGCCTCGGAGAAGCTATGAAATGATAATAATTAAAAATGAATATCTTTTCGCGACCGAGATTAATGAAGGAGCATCATAGCTTAGTGTCGAGAGCATTTCAAGGATGAGACAACTAAGGCGGCTTGGTGTCTTCATCTAGATACTAAAGAACACCTTCAATCGGGGACCGTCTAGCAAGACCTGACAAGGCAAACCGGAGGACTGTACCAAACAACAGCTCAAGTTTTCCTTTTTCTGATTGGCGCACACGAAACTATTTCCAGGAAGATTTCTGCTTCAAAGAACGCATTGGTGATGTCAGAAATCGTTGGAAATACGCAGGTGGCAGCGCTGCTTGGAACAGCTTATTTACTGAGGATATTGCACGAGTTTCTGAGCTGCAGACATCACCCGACAAAATCATTTTGCATAGCAGGGCGCCTTGGTTTACAAAATTGCTTGGAACAGCCGCGGAGAGACATCAAATCATTTAGAAATAATAATAATAACAATAATAATAATAATAATAATAATAATTGAATACCTGCCTATTTAAATAACTATAACACCACAAATGAAGTGCTGAGACAGCGAATGTGCAATGTATTATATTTCTCTGTTCACAGACCTGAACATGAGTCAGTTGGTAAGAATAGTCCAATTTATATAATCAGTATTTAATCTATACTAACCAGCAATTTTTACAACTAATTCGGATTTAATATTTCTGAAATGAGTAATTGTTGATATTCTTGTATTATTTGGAACTATTATTCTCATCATGGTTGATATAATTCTTATAGACACAACGTTTCGTCAAATTACTGGTCATCGTCAGGTCTCCATTGATTGTCTGATATGGAATATCAGTCGATTATTGTGATATTTTGTCCCTATGACATCAGTTACTTCTTGCATTAGTTCTTCACGTGAACGAGTGGTTAGGACGTTCGCTTATCTGACCAAGAGGTCTGGAGTGGGTGTTCGAATTGAATCGAAGGTGAACGAAGGTGACCTTGATGTTACTGTCCTGGGAGAGGCGATCCTAGCGTGTGGCACCTTTGGAAAGTGCCTGAAAACTATAACAAGGTTTGACTCAAGCCCTGTGAGTGAAATTGGGTACATGAAACTCATTGGGGATGGTTGTGCTGGCACGAAGTCACCAGTCATTGTGACCGAGGGTTTGGACGTGCTGGCCTTGTTCAAACTGTTGATTACGTTAAATATAGCGCTCTCACACAGAAACTGTAAGAAGGTTGCAGTATAAAACTCAGATGGACTCTGTGGGTTTTGAACAAACACAACAGTGCCAGCGCCGGCGTCTGCAGCAGGGATTGACTAACCGCCATAGTAGACCTATTATCCTGGGATACAAGTGTCTAGCCATATATATATATATATATATATATATATGTGTGTGTGTGTGTGTGTGTTTCATTAAAGACGACAGACAAGGTACTGCGATTAAGGTTTTTATTTAATTTTTCTTGTGTTCGAACAAGTGCTTTCTTTTCTGGACACAGAATGTGTAGAAACTGTCCAAATGTTCTGTAATTCCGAGCGCTTTCGGCTATACATTTAGCCATTGTCAAACATGATATTATTTATTTGATAGTTGTATGGGTTGTGTGTATGATTCTAGAGTTACAGGGATGTTTTATTTTCCGAACACGGCACATTGTTATAGTTAAAATTATTGAGTGTTGTCTTTTTCTTTTTTATTGTTAAGTTTTCCATAAGTTTTAATCTTTTTTTACATGTGTATGAGGTTATTATGTTTCTATTTTCTACTAGAATGTTTCTGATGCAGTCTGGTAATTTTGTGTGTGTGTTTAAATGGGTTCTGATGGAGCTGTAGCCGGATAAGTGTAAAGTAAGGGGCATGTAGTATTGCGACCGATGTAATTATTTATGAGTTCGGTTTGATCAGGTATACAGAAGCATTTAAATAATATTCGTTCGTTGTAATTCTTGGCTTTGATTTTTAAAAAGCTCAATCGAAGTACATTGCCTGTCGTCTTTAATGAAACATGTATAAATGAAGGATTAGTGCCTAAATACAGAACTGTTGAGCGAAGCAGCTGAATCTCCAAGCCTGAACTACAACTTATATATATATATAAGGGAGTAAGAATATTTTTGTATATCCAAAGTGGATAAAAATATCGACGAAGAAATGAGGTACGAGAGGATGTGATATATATATATAGCTGTAACTGAGGTCTGCTCAGCATAGTTGCAGTATAAACTGCTGTTGGGCTCTGTGGGTTTTGAGAAAACACAATGTGCCTGGGCAAGTGACTGCAATAGGGATTTTCTAGTCGCGCTGGTAGAAGGACATCCTCGAATACGACTGTCCAGCTATAAAATAGTCACACGTCTCTCACCTCAATTTAGTTTTTGAAAATCATAGAACTGTGAAACCGATAAAGTTACTATAAAGAAATATTCTTAAAGATTCCAGTTTTATTTTCAACTCCTTTCTTCTCATATATATATATATATATATATATATATATATATAGAGAGAGAGAGAGAGAGAGAGATTAGTATATATATATATATATATATATATATATATATCTCTCTCTCTCTATATATATATATATATATATATATGGAGAGAGAGAAAGATTATATATATATATATATATATATATATATATATATATATTAGTTGGCTACTTGTATTCGAGGATACGCGTCTACTAGGGCAAGCTAGTCCCTATTGCAAACGCTCGCTCAGGTACATCTGTGTTTGTTCAACACCCACAGACTCCACTTGTGGTTTATACTGCAACTATTATAGTGTGTTATCTAGCGTGATCAACAATCTGAACAAGTCCAGCACACTCAAACCCTCGCTCACGATGACATATGACTTTGTGCTAGCATAGCTATCGACGGTCCCCAATTGTTAAGTCTACCCAGTTTCACTTATAAGGCTTGGGTCAAACTGTGGTATGGTTTTCAATCATTTTTCAAAGGTGCCGCACGCTGGCATCGTCCCCCTCCAGACTGATAACATCAGAAAGTTTCCTTCCTGACAAATCAACCATGGTGGTATATATAATTTACGGTTACCAAGGATACAGAAAAAAATTATGAATTTCCCTTGTAGTTAAAACTCAGTAAATTTGAAAAAAATAAGTTACTCCAAAATTCGCTTGAGGATGAAATGGAACTAATGTTTTTAATTTAATTACAAAATTAAATTCAAAGTTTTTAGCTTCCATTTTTGAAACAGGGTTATTACTGTGTAGCGAAAAAAACATATTTTAAATCAGTTAATTTATAATATTAATGCTCTATAAATTTACATTGAGCACTATTTTGTAAAAAATAAAAATATCTATAAGAACACCGGATTACATATCTTACTGCTCTTTTCTTTTATTTAAAAACACACACACACACACACACACACACATATATATATATATATATATATATATATATATATATATATATACATATATATATATATATATATATAGCGGTCCTCGACTTACGACAAAGTTCCGTTTCAACGATGCGTCATAACGCGATTTTTCGTGTAAGTCGGAATGTACCCGCGATTTTCCGTGAATATGCTCTTACATCACTGACTGATGCTAAGGCAATAGTAAAGTTATAATGTCAGACCTAACAACGCATTTATATGACATATGTTAATATAATCAGAACTCAAAGCAGTTGGAGGACATAAATATAATAGATATAATGAAATGAAATTGTTTTAAGCTAATTGTTTGTATATTTATTGCCAGTGATGTCATTGGCTCTCGGTAGATGAGGTGACCAAGCGTAAAATCATATGTGTCTCGTGAGACTCTTTTACAGTCTTCGGAAGCAGCAGCAAATCTGAAGTAGAAAGAAAAACAAAAGTGAATTTGTTTATATTTCTGAGATGATGCACACTATTTACATTATTCGGACTATTGTCCTCATCTTTGTCGCCATATTTTTATTCGGACAAACGAATTTAGTGCCTTTTCAGACAGATCTGTTCTATATTTCTGTGATGAGTCCGAATAATTATGTACATAATACTATTTAGACATTGCCGAATCGTTGTTCCGGATAAAGATATTGTCCTAATCTTTGTCGCCATCAAATATATTTATGAACCGAAACGTTGTTTGGCGGACAAAGATGAGGACAATAGTCCGAATAATGTAGCTGTACCTATATTAGACAGATACTGTGATGAGTAATAAATATGGCGACAAAGATGAGGACACTAAAATTTACATTATTCAGAAATATAGACAGATACCTCATAATAAATTGGCGACAAAGATCGTCCGAATAACTAAATTTACAGAAATATAAACAGATTATTAAATATGGGACAAAATGAGTCCGAATAATGTAAATAGTGTACATGCATAAGAAATATAGACAGATCGAACAGAAATATAGACAGATACGAATAATGAAAGTGTACACTTAATACACCACCTCAGAAATATAACGTTGAAGTCGAAAACGTTGTATAAATATGGCGATGAACAATAGTCCGAATAATGTAAATAGTGTACATAATACCTCATCACAGAAATATAGACAATAGTCCGAAACGTTGAATAAAAACAAAGATGAGGACAATAGTCCGAATAATGTAAAATAGTGTACATCATCACCCTCAGAAATATAAACTGAAACGAAACGTTTTAAATATGACAAAGTCAATAGTCCTACTTCTTCAGCTCATTCAGAAAATAAACAAATGTTCCGTCAGTTAATATTCAAATGTTCCGTTACTGTTCTTTTTCTTTTACTGTACCTCCTTTGTTCACTAATTTCTCGTGTTGTTGGTACGTCAAACATGTCATACAATATTTCCATCGGTACCTCTTTACGTGGAATTACTAAATCAGTGAATCTCCATTTTAACTGATTAAGGTGTCACTTATGCTCCCTCCTTTGTCCCTGTATGTCATTTTTTCGATCCGTTTAGGTTCTTATATAACAAGTAGGGGAGAAGACTTCTGAATATCGTGGGTGGAACGTATGCGTATATAAATAATACAGGCATAAACATAAAAATCAACACTGCATGGTGGAAAGCACTTGACGTCATAAGCAATCATTAGAACTAATGGTCTCTAAAGGCCTCATTCATAATGCAATAGTCATTGCTGTGTTCATATTGATTTATATATATATATATATATATATATATATATATATATATATATATATATATATTATATATCTAAATAGATCATAGCCTAATGATAAAAGAATCCTTTGGAATTATACTATATTTATTATCCAATTTGTTTTAATCATTTCACTGCAAGCAAGGCGATAAAGCCACTAAGACGCAAGAGGTTACTGAGAGTGAGAAAACTTTAGCGGGGAGAAAGGACATTAAAATGACAATATTCATGGAGACAGGAGATGGTAATTGATGTTGCCTTTAGATTTTGGAAAATCGTAGGTGGCAGGGAAGCAAGAAACCGGAAGGGAGTTCCGAAGGTGGGAAGTGCAAGAAAAGAAAATATTAGAATAGAAGTTACGGTTACATCTAGCTAATTCAACAATGAGACCTAATTGACAATCTAGTAATACACTTAAATTCATGCGACCGGGCTACCGAGGAGGTGAACTAAGTAGAACAAATGCTGAGAAAATATAAAAACAAAGGAGAGTCATACAACAGCGGTGGATAAGTAACGTAAACCGAGATGCCAGGTCAGGACTGATAACATTACAGACCCTTCTTTGGATTTTTGTTAAGAATTCCGAGATATGTAACAGGAGCACTAGACCAGATATAGCAGTAATATTCAATGCACGGATGGATGGTAGATTTATAAATGTACAAAATGGTTTCTGGTGAGAAAAAAATGAATCAAATTTCCTAGCAGAGAACCTAGCAATTGTTTGAATATATTACCCACTTATTTGTTAATAAATCTTTTTTTCTTGTTGATCTGGTCCTCTTCTACAAAGAAACTGAAAACCTTGTGTATAATTAAGTGAATCAGTTGAGAGTTTGATTTAAAAATTAAATATATATATCTATTTTTATCACCACATTGTTGTATCTCGTGTTTTCGAGATAAGAGAGTGAAGTAAATAAAGAAGACAAGCTCGTAGTTAAGTAATGAAATAGAAGATTTATTACACAAAGGTACACTTAGCAATTGACCTAATGCTAACTCTCCTCAACTCTGCTTATTTACATAAATAGACAATTCCATTCATTTATGTCCTATATGACACTATTATAGTCTGTTCTTATCTATCTATCTATCTATCTATCTATCTGTCTAATTTTGTGTTTTCGAGATAACAGAGGGAAATAAATAAGAAAGACAAACTCATAGGTAAGTAATGAAATATATATATTGCCTAGTGAAGGTTTACTACACGAATGTACACTTACACGACCTAATGCTAACTCGAGATTTATTGCGTATTGGGGGTGAAAGAGAATGGGAATTTAATGAGATGAAAGGACAATAAAAGAACAGGTTTCAGGAAAACAGAAGATTGCGATTGACGCTGCATTTAAATGTTTGAAGATCTTAGTTGGCAGCGGAGTAAGAAACCGGAGGAGAGTTTCACAGAATATAACTTACGGTTGCATCTAGCTGTTCAACAGTAAAACGACGAGACCTAATTGCAACTCTAGTAATACGGTCAAATTCATGCAGTTGAAGTGCCTAGGAGATTTCATTAGAACATTTGCCATGTAAACATCTATAGAAAAGACAGAGGGAGGCCACGTCACGGTAGAGGGAAAGTGACTGAAGTCAAGATGTCAGCCTAGGAAATATATTATAGGTGCACCTGTCCAAATATACCAGCAATGCACGAACAAATGATAGATTTATAAATTTGAAAATTGAATTCTGAAAATAATCATTGTCTAGCACGACAAAATGAATTAATTTTCCTAGCAACTGTTGTAGAGTAGTTTTCACAGTGGAGGCTTGTATTTCACTAAGTCGGTCCTAAATTAGGTTCGACGTGCAAAACGTTAGGAACTTGAAATAATAGTTAATGATGCAGCAATCTAGTTGTGGTGGTTGATACTTTAATGTCCGACATCGACTGACACACCAACTCCACCGAGTCCCCTGGCGACTGCTACTACTACCACTTATTATATGTGGAGAGTCTATTTACAATAGAATAGGTATGTCCTAGTATAACAGCAACAGACCTAGCAATTGATTCAATATAATCATTACATTTCATGTCAGTGGAAAACATGAGACCAAGAAGGCGCAAAATGTTGCGTTCCTGGAGGTCAGCACCGGTAATACTGACGGAAGGTGAATATAGTTATCTATTTTGGAGGCGTTAAAATTTACAATCCACTACTTGCCCCAGTTAACAACTGATTTTCAAGAGAAGTTTCCAGTTTTACTTTGTCGGACCTGTCAGAACAGATGACATCAAAATGTTTGTTGAAGATAAGAAAACAATTTCGTTCCATGTTTAGCGGTTAATATTTGATAGGACAGAACATTGTCGTACGAAGTTTTCAGATGAAAATCAAGATAGTATATATGCAAGAAGTCTCAAGTCATTGTGACCGAGGCTTTGAGAATACTGAACATGTTCAAACTGTTAATTACTCCAGACGATGCGTGGACACTGTTGTTCAAGCTGAGTAGCGACAGTCTGTTTCATGTTTAAAAGCAATAGCCTGAAGATTGTGCCACACACTATTGATCTCAGTGTCCACTTTTATATTTACACACGCTCTATCCCTGACATTGAGCACTTTTAAGATACGTTAAAATTATATTTTTTATTATATATATATATATATATATATATATATATATATATATATATATATATATATATGGATGTTGAACAAACACAAATGGACCTGCAATGGGTATTAGCTAGCCGCCCGGGTAGACTGGCATTACGAATTCGAGTAACTGTGCCATTTACCTCACACACACACACACACACACACACACACACACACACACACACACACACACACACACACACACACACACACACACATATATATATATATATATATATATATATATATATATAGTTTATGCAAAACTAGGTAATCCGTATGGGTAGACCCAAGGAGTATGATATCCAGAGAGCTCAATATAAGTTAAGAGCAAATATGTTTGAATA